GCGCACAGAGGCTGTGGCTAAGGCATGGAGACAGTGAGACTGTGGCTAGCTCCTAATAGTTCTGCAAAGCATCATGGGATACCGCTTTGACCAGTAAGTCCAGTAACAAAGCATGTCAGGGAAAATCATATCAGTGTGCAGAAGATAACACTGACCAGCAGTCATAGCTGCAGTGGAATGAATGTTGGACCAGGTCACGGAGAATAAACACTCGGATCCCAGGAAAATTCTGTCGGGTTGTGCGGTAAAGATGCAGAAAAACCGCCACAGTAAAATGTAATTTCATAGTGTCATACAGTAGGAATCGGATCACAAGACTATATGCTTTATAATCAAATTATACTGTGAGGAAATGTCAATTTTGTCAAGTTTTGTTTTTCCCAAACAAGCTTTTTCCTAATTATATGAAACCACCAAACTCCAAAGTCCTGTCAAACTGAAGTACACCAAAAAACAGAGCGGCTGACTAGTCTGACGTTTGCTAAACACAGAAAAATCTGTGTCAGCACATAAGTTGGAACACAAGAATCAAAAGACTGTTGATCTGTGGTCATTTGCACTGCATGGACATTATATTGTTTATCCATCAGGGGGCACTATCCAGTTTATTTTTCAACTCGTTAAATGACCCATTTTAAGTCCTTTTCTGTTTTTTTATTTATATATTATGGTCAACACACACAAAAGAAAAAAAACAACATGCCTCAGATCATCATCATAAGATTTTCAAATATTGAGCCTTCAAAACTGAGTTTCAGTCGGGTTTAACTTTGAATCAATTATCCTGCAAAGAACCCTTTGTTTCCCTTTCAAAACAAAACTCTGTTTCTATGCAGTAACAAGTACTTGTAGTGCAGTGTTGCATACTTTTATGAATCTCTTACGCTGCATGTTTCTTTGGAAAACACTACAAAGCAGTTGGCTGATGCTTCGGGCAGATGATTCAGTCATCAGGTCTGCAGCTCAGACCGCAAACAGAACTCTAAACCAAGACTTTGAGTGTGCAAATACTGAAACATGCAAACACACACAAACACCATGGCCGTGTGACTCCGTGTGCACGAGTGACTTTCTCACCTCATCATCCTTGTACCAGGACAGACTCTCGGCGGTCAGGACAAACCAGTACTCCTTGGCGCCTCCCTTCATGATGCCGATGTTATTAATGGTCAGCCAGCCCTTCCTGATCACCTGAGAAACAGACGGATATAGCAGACACACAGAAAGGAAATGAGCTGAAACTCAACCAGCATTTGCACATTTCACAAAGTTAACATCAACATCCATCAACCTATACATTTACAGACATTTACCACACACATATGTAGGCCTACCTACACAGCAGAAGTGAATGAGCTAACAAAAACGCTCAGCTAACCACCAACACACTCCTCGCACTCGCTCTCTTTTTTCTCCTCAGCTCTCTTGTATTTCATTCCCTCCACTTTACAGTCACACATACAGTACGATGGTGTGCAGGTTATTTACCTTGAACCGATCGTTAACTCCTCTCTCCGGCTGAATGAGAATGTGGAGAGAATATTACAAAGCTATGCCAGCATAGGGCATTTAGTAAAAGGCCAAATACACATGACTGATCAACTGCCAGCACATTACAGCCGGCTGCTGGGATGGCAGCAAGGGGACAGCAAGCAGGGTGAGGGACGAGGCAGATAAGGAGGCTGCAGTGGCCCGTGTCACCTTTTGAAAATCATGCAGTGAAATGCATGCGATCCTGTTTTATGCTACACTGTAGGTATGAGCTTTGCAAATGGAAGCAGCCGATTAATTATCTGAGCAAGAGCGTTTAAATAACATACATTCAATTCAGCTGTTTCCCTTTAAAGTAGTTTAAAGCAGAATAAAATGATTTAAAGCCTGGCAATTACCTACCGACAATGTAAACCCTTAAAAAAAAGGCTGGATGGATTTATGAAGTCCATTAATTTGTGTCTTTTGGATCACTATTGAACAATTCAATGTTCTTCTGATGGTTTCTGGACAACAATAAGGGTCCACAGCACACACTTAAAGACATAATTCTTTGCCCTCATAAATATAAAGTAGTAATTTGGGGGAAAATGCAACTGAAAAATATATCATATATATAATAAACAAAGGAAAACATGCTTGGTGTAAACTGAATGTCCGCCAATCACATAAAATTTATTTGTCCAGAGTCAATTAAATGTAACAGTTTACACTGTACTTATGTAACAAAATTACATTGGAAAATTTACATGTAATCAGATTACTTAGAGTCAGTATTTTGGGATTTTTTTTTTTTAGTAAAGACAAATAATCTAATAATCTATAATCTGGCTATCAGCCTGTTCTTATAGAGTCAACGCCTTTAGGTCTTGTCACTGTTTTGCCTTATAAAAGGAGGTCTAATGAGACGTGTTTTACATGAGGGACTTGCTCTACATTTAAATAATTAATAATTAATCTCTATAAAAAGTTTATAATTCCTGAACATTTAGATTAGGATCTATCATAAGGTGTGGTTAGCTTTAAGCATAACATTCTCCTTAAATTCCCTGCATGGAGGTCAGACCAGCAGTGAATGAGAAGAGCAGAAGCTTCAGGGTCTTTAAGGGCCAATGATATCCATCTATAAACAGGATGTTAAGTTCACCACTTTGCTTACAATGTGCCCCTAACCTTTGACCCTTCTCTGGGTGGTTGCAGTGACAACTACAGGGATGCCATATGTCTGCAGGTATTCATGTCCTCTGGCCTTCTGTGTTACTTTGAATTTAGAAGAGGCAGGGGAACGCTAAGACCCCTTTGATCAATATTTCGAGGGAAAATATTTATCAGAATTTTTTCAGACTCTCTTCTTTTCTGTCTTTTGTCTTTATTGCTTCTTTAGACGTGTGACTCCCTCTTCATGTAGTTCAAGCTACTGCTGGGGGGCATCTATTTACTGCCAAAGCAAATCAACTGCAGAGCCAAAGCCACACTGAACATCTCCAAACTGGGCCTTTCTGAAAGATGCATGTGGGGTTCACGCAAACATACAAACACACGCACACACACACAAAATAACATTATATAACAGAGAATCACACTTCTTTTTATGTGCACAAAAGCTTTTTATGGCATATTTACAACCCTGAAATGTAATTGTGTTTCTGTGGGGATGACATAGCTAAAAGAAAAAGGAGAACAAGGAAACAGCCAAGCATCTCTAACTACAGCCACCTGCTAATCTACTAGCACTTA